CCGTGCCCGGTTTGGGGGTCCCTGGCAGCGGGAGGAGCTTCCTGCAGTGACTGTCACCTCATCACGTGGCACCAGAGCCACCCCAGACGTGTCACACTGGGGACAACGACATCATCATCATCATCATCACTGTCACCGTCACCCTCCAGCCATGGCAACAAGGACAGACCCAGGAGGGGACAGGGGGGTGGAGCAGCACCAAGGTGGGGATGGGTCCCTGTTACCCCTTCCCCTCCCTCACGGGGGTCCCCAAGAGAGGGGGCACCCCCTGTGAGCTCTGTGGGGACACAGAGGGGGCTGAGTCACCCCAGGGCACAACCATCCCCCGCAGCACGAGGCCCTGACGTGGCACTGAGTGACCGGGAACTGGGGACAAACTGGGACAAACTGGGACAAACTGGGGAGTACGAGGGGTTTCGGGGGGCAAAATGAGAGGAGGAGGCTTAAGGGGAGAAATTAGGGAAAAAAACAAGGAGGGAACAGGAGTTTGGGGGCCAAAACAGGGAGGGGATGGGGATTTAGGGACATTCCTCCAAGAAAGAGGCAGAAATGACACAAAGGTTGGAAAAAGGGAAAAAATCTCTTGATGGAAAATCTCTGCTGCCCAGAATCCACCTGGGGCTGGGACACACCTGAGGGGGTTCAGCTCCTGCCAGGACATGGAGGATAAAATTCCACCCCAGGACAAACACTGGAGTTCCCAACGAGGGGGAAAAGGGCCCAACCTTCCCCCCAAAGCCCTGGGAACCCTCTCAGCCCCTCCTCATCCTCCTTCCCAACAGATTTGGCTGCTCCAGCTCCCAGGAACTGGAAAATTTGGGGGGGATACAGCCACAGGACCTGGCAGGGCTCAGGGAAATGGGAATTTTCCTCTTCTCCCTTTAAGAACAGCCCAGGATGTGATGGGTGCTGGAGAGGAGGTTATTGCTGGCAACACAATCCCAGGATGTCTTCAAATGGGATGTTCCCATTTATCCATACATTTAAGATAAAATAAAAAAAAGAAACAAAAAAAAACCAATTAAAACAAAACCTTCAAGTGTTAATTTTCCAGAGGGAAAAGGAGAGGGAAAAATAAAGCTTCCTGCTCCACTTAGAAGAGGAATAGCTCTGGGTTGGTGACACAAAGGTTTCAGATTTTAGTCAGGAATGACAGCTCTGGAATCAGAAAAGGGCGAGGGATCTCCCCATTCTTACTCACAACCAGCCTGGGGGTCCCAGAGCCCCCCAAACATGCAGGGAAAGGGGGGAACACCCACATTCCATTCAAAACAGAACCAGGAACATTTGGGACTCTTCCCCAGCTGCTGTTGTGCCAAATTTCCTTCCAAGTCCAACTCTGAAATTCATTTTCCTGTTGGAATTGAAGCAAGAGGGAATCAAATGGTTCTTCCAGCCCCTGAGGAGAGCAGGGTTGGCCACAAGTTGTTTTTTTTTTTTGGTTTTTTTTTTCACGGAAAAAGCCAGAAGATTCCAAGTCAATGTTTAAAAATTAAAAATTTATATATATAGATATATTTATATATATAAAAAAATTTCATTCTGTTCCCTACTTTTCCAGCTCTCCTCTTACTCTTTGTCATTTGGCAACAGGATCATCCCATGGCAGGAATTCTTCTTTAGGGAGGTGAGTGAGCAAATGTAGTGAAATTACACAGTTCCTCAGCAATTCCCTGGAAAATCTCTCAAATCCAGGGATTCTCCTCCATCCAGCTCCAAAATGAGGACAAGGAACTCACCTACATGGGATAAAATTCCATGGAGCAGGTTTTATCCCAAAAGAAACCTGTTGGAACATCAAATTGTGGCAGCACAGAAACCATCAGCTGGAAAATGGATTCATCCAGAAGAAAGCTACATGGGTAATATTTTTATGGCTTGTTAATTATCCCAGGGTAACGAGGGGGGTTCATGGGTCACACTGATTTCATTGCACAGTTCACAGGAGAGAGAAGATTCCAGAAAAACACAGGAATCTCCACGTGGAGCACCCTGGACTGGAGACGCTGTAACAACCCTCCAAAAACAGCCAAAATTCCTCCAAAAAGGAGGAAAACACTGGCTTGGAACACGGATTCTTACTCAAGCATCCTCCAGGATTGTGTTTACAGGGATAACACTTGGAAGAGTTCCTTCCAGTACTGAAAAATTCCAATAGTTTTGTGTTTTATAGAAAAAAAGTCACGGCAGAGAATGAAATAAAAACAGTCAAAAGCCACCTTAAAAAGTGAGGAAGGGCTGTCTTGTGATCCAGACAGGAATCCCTTCCCAAAAAAAATCCACTTGGGAGCAGCTCTGGGGCCTTCAGCTTTGTGGCACTCAGGTCCTGAAGCTTCCAGAACAATCCCACATGGAGGAGGTGCCCAAACCACCTGGTCCTCCAAGGCCATCCCTCCTCGGAGCTCTGCTGCCAGAAGGTGGGAAGGGTTCACACAGTTCCTTGAGAAAAAGACTCTGCTGTTTTTTATCCTTTACATGTGGATGTTGTTGAGAGCTTTGTGTTGTTTCCCCTAAGGCTTGTTTTTATTCAGAAAAAGAAGGGAATATGTTCAACTCTGGGAATTCTTCGTTGTTGTAGTTGGGGCCTTGGTCCCCCAACATGGTCAGCATGTCCTGTGAGGATACAAGGAGAGGGTTTAGGATCCAGACTGAAATATCAAGGGAGGTTTAGGTTGGAAATTAGGGGGAAAGGCTGGACTCCATCCCAGAGGCTTTTCCAACCTCAGCAATTCCATGGCTCCATGATCACGTGGGTAATTTAATCATGGGTTTGCTGCAATGGATACTGTGGACTAAACTGGTTCCTTGCCCAAGGAAACACAGGGTCTGCAGGGCAAATTTAAGGAGAGCAGCAAATTGAAGCTATCATCACCAACTGCTGGGAAAGCTGGGGTGAGAGGATTATGAATTCTCAGGAATTATTTGAATTTCATTGGACTGTAGGTTTTTTTTTTTAAATTAAATAGAATTAGAGGGGTCAATCCAACTAGAATTTCACACTGATCCTGCAACAGATCAGACACAAAGCCAGTCCTGCCCTCTCCCCTTCCAGCTCCATCAGGTTATCCAGGAGTTTGGGACCTCCCCAGTTGATGTGAACCAGAGGGACAAGCTCTGGCTGCTTCAACACCAGTGGATCCCACCAGATTGGGAGGTTAAAAAGCCCCATCTTACTGGGAAGACCTCGGGCTGGCTGGGCTGGGGCTGCTGCACGTGCTGCTCCGCGGGCGCTGGGCCGTGGTGCTGGCCCTGCCACTGCGGCCACATCCCCACGGCGTCGGCGGCGCGGGGCTGGAACGGGGCCGGGCTCTGGGCGGCCTCTGTGGCTGCTGGGCAGAGAACACAGGCACTGAATCAGCCCTGCTCTGGGAACGGGGCTGCTGGGCAGAGAACACAGGCACTGAATCAGCCCTGCTCTGGGAATGGGGCTGCTCCAGGGCTCTGATGGGATTGGGAAGGGCAGGGCTCTGTGTGGTGACAGGGCAGGAATTCCTGCCGCAGGAATTCAGGTGTTTGCTATGGGATGGAACAAAGAGACTCCCAGAGGGGTTTGTTTCCTCCCAGTCAGCCTTAAAATGCTGAGATGACCCCAATTATCCCAAGCTGGGAGGGATCCACAAAGACCCCAAGTCCAACTCTGTGGTTGAAGGTGATCAACATCAGCTTCAACTCTGCTCCCCACATTTAGGCACTCCCAAAATCCACCAAAAAATGACAGAGAGCACATCCCACCACAGCTGGATGCTCCCAGGGGTGTTTTGCCCCCCCAGGCCCCACTCACTGAAGGCTGTGCCACGGCTGGCCAGGGCTGGGTACGGCGCCGTGCTGGGAGACGCCGTCGATCCCGGCGCTGCCATGGAGCTGAAGGAGGACGGCGTGCCCTGGAATGTCCCCATGCCAAAGGAAGGAGGTCGTGTCTTCACTGTCTGAGATGCCACTTGCTGTAAGAGAGGAGAAACACAGCAGAGGAAGAGGAGGCACGGCTTCACCCCGACCCTCAGCTCAGGGAGGAGTTGCTGGATTAGCCCCGCAGGAGGAAGCAGCGGCAGAGAGTGGAAGCAGGAGGGTTGCCCGTGCAGAGAAGGGGCTGGAAGGCAGCAGGGAGCCTGCAGCCGAGCGTGTGGGCTGTGCTACCTGGGCTGTGAACACCGGCCGTGTCCCTGGAGCCCAGGTGGTGCCGCTGACCTGAGCTGGGCTGGAGTGCCGGGAAATCTGGGACAGGATCCGGCCGGAGGGCGAGGGCTGCTGCTGCTGGATGATGTTCACTGGAGGCACCATGCTGCTGCTCCTGCAACACAACACGTGCCTCAGGCACTCACAGCAGGAAAAGGCACCAAACCTTTCTGCTCAAGTCATTGGTGGAGGGAAATGAGCGCAGTAATTGATGGGAAACTGCCCAATGGTCACCCCTGAGTGTCCCAAGGATGTGGCACCTGGGGACAGGGGTTAGTGGCAAACACAGGGTTAACAGCTTGATGATCCCAGAGGGCCTTTCCAACCAAAATGACTCATGATTCTACACAACTGAGAGGGTTGTGGGCACCCAGATCCTGGGCATGCCCAAGGCACAGCAGAGGAAACAGGGGCTGGGCAGGGGAAGGCTCACCTGAAGTTCTCAGCGGGCCGTGCAGCAGTGAAGGTGTTGCCCTGGGCAAAGAGGGGAGGGTTGGCTGGCATGGTGCTGGCAGGGATGGTTTTGCTCTCATCTGTGGAGAGAGCACGAGTCATTTTTGGGCTGGGACATCTCAGGAACGGGGAGAAGCAGTTGGAAGAGATGTGTCTGTGTGAAGGAAGACTCCTCAGTTCCTCCTTTTGACAATTTTGTTAAATCCTGTTTAATTTGATTTCATTTCCATTTTCTACTGAATTCTCATGGATTTTCTCTGGAGTCAGAGCATCCACTGCAGACTGAGAGCAGGGAGAACTGCTCCACAGGGAACAAGCAGGAAAAATATGACCAGGGCAGGCAGGAGGAGCTGACCTGAGCTGCTGACCCACCTGTGCTGATGCCAGGGAAGATCTCCCCGAAGCGTGGGTCCCTCTCCTGGCTGAACAGGCTCTCAGCCTTCTCCAGGGGCTTGCTGTGCTCGGGGCCAGCAGCACTCACGGGCTGGACAGGTACCTGGGGAGGGACATGGGGCTGCTCACACCTGGTGGGGCTCCTCACACCTTGTGGAGGCTCCTCACACCTGGTGGGGGCTGCTCACACCTGGTGGGGGCTGCTCACACCTGGTGGGGCTCCTCACACCTCATGGAAACTGCTCACACCTCATGTAAACTGCTCACACCTGGTCGGGGCTCCTCACACCTCATGGAAACTGCTCACACCTTGTGGGGCTGCTCACACCTGGTGGGGCTGCTCACACCTGGTGGGGCTGCTCACACCTGGTGGGGGCTGCTCACACCTCAGCACAAAGGTGAGCACAGGCCCAGCCATTCCTGGGATTTTGATGTATTCTTTGGGATAGCAGGGCCATTTAGGATGCACAATCACATCCCTGGAAGTGTCCAAGGTCAGCCTGGACAGGGCTTGGAGCAAAGTGGGCTGGTGGAAGGTGTCCCTGCCCATGGCAGGAGGTGGAAGTGGATGGGTTTTACAGCTCCTTCCAAACCAAATTATTCCATGTTTTATGATTCCACGTGATAAATACTGGAATTGAGCAACACCCAACAGACACCTTCCCCTAAAACCTCACCTCAACCTGGTGCCACCACCTTTAAACCCCCAGCAAAAGTGTGACTTCAACAGAGCAGGACAATGAACAGGGAGTGCCCAAATCACTCTGGACTCACCTGTGAGTGCTCATAGCCAGCCAAGCTCTCCCTTGCTGGGCCCACTTCCAGCTCTGCCTGAGGTGGCTGCTGCTGCCTGAAATAGAAAGTGTCTGTGCCAGGGGAACACAAGATAATTCCCAAGGGAACAGCTCTGGGTGGTTACACCAGGGATTTGTCAGCCTGCAGTTCCTGGCTGCAGAGAGGGGAATTTGGGAATGAAGGGTGTGTGAGGAAAGGAGGAAATGGAAAAAGGAGCTGAGCTCCTCCTGACCTTGAGGGCAGTGGGGCTGTGCCCATGTCCAGGGGAAGGCTGACGCTCTGCCCCAGCTGAGGCCTTGGCATGGAGTTTGCCAGGGCAGGCCGGGACTCCTGGCTCGAGTTCCTGCAATTCAAACACAGAAAAAAGAGATTTAACAGGTCCCAACTGGTAGCAAAGCTGGGTCCTGTGTGTAGCAGGGCGTGGCTGGCTGGGATAAGATGAAAATCCCATTTGAGTGAAGGGTTTTTGAGTGAATTTCCACCTGGTTTCCTTGAAAGGTGGTGCCATGGAATAGGAGGCTCTCTCCTCCACACTCAGTCCCTGCACACCTCAAACACAACCACACAGACACTGCTGCTCTGCTCTGAACTTCCACAGCGAGTTTTGGGCTCTGGATGTGGGAATGGCTGTGTGTGCAATGAAGAAGTTCAAAGAGAGAGCTCTGACACGGGGCAGGAAATCAGGCTTGCAGCAGATTTCAGCTCTGCAGGGAAGCAGTGCTACTTTGCCTCATGGCAAAAACATCCCGGATTTCCCTTCCCCAGGCAATCCAGCCTTCTGGTTGTCTGCTGGAGCTGCCAAGCCTGCAGCTCCAGATCACACACAGGCACAACTCCTTGGTCCTTGCAAAGGGTGTGGAGCTCTTGGAGCTCCCTCATGGAAAGAGAGAACAGCTCTGACCATTCCCAAAGATGGGAAGGCTGTGACAGGAATCCAAGAGCATTCTAAGGCAGATTTCACTCATTTCAGGCACTGCTGGAGCCACATTTTGGCAGCTTGCTAAGCCACACAACAAGACAATTCCTGCACTTTGTAGCCCTCCAGTGCCTGGCACATCCCAGCAGAGAATGGGAGCCGGAGGGACTCAGGAACTTCTCCAGGGTTGTGCAAATTGATGGGGAGAGGCTGAGGCTGCCCAGCTCTGGGTTGCTGTGTCCCCTCTGCACCACTCACTTGACGTTGGTGTTGGTGCAGATGATGTACTCGATCTCATCCGAGTAGGGGTTCTGGAAGGTGAACGAGCTCGTTCTCATCCACAGCCACTCGCGGCTCTTGGATCGGAAGCGGAACATGACCGACAGCACCTGCCCTTTTAACTTCACCACCTAAAAACAAAATGGAATCACACCAGTAGCACCTGATCAAAGGTGGGGAAGAGTAACCTGAGCACCACTTTCCCCCCCAGACCCCTGTGATGGCCCTTTGCCTCAAACCTGGACCACCACATCTCAGCCTTCCCAAACTACATGGCACTATTCCCTTGGGACAGCTTGATTCCTAAAGGATCCAGGAGGGGAATCCAAAATCCCCTTGTTTTTTGCCTTCACTTCTCTTATCTCTCTTGCACTGGTGAGATGTATGGAAAAGCCTCCAAGAAATGAAACACATGCTGTAGCTTCCCATTCCAACGGTTTGGAGCAATGGATATGAGCAGCTGGTTTTTGGAGTCATGAAACCACAGGGGCAGCCTTACCTGCCCTGCCACCAGTCCAAGGCCCTCAGAAATAACAGTAACGACAACAGGGCAAGAAAACCACCTCCACTGCGGGTTCTGGGCCCTAGAGACGAACCAGGGTTTCAGCCAAGTCAAGCAGCCACTTGGGAGCCACATCCCTGGCCCTAAAAGCCAACTGGACCAGCAGCCAGAGCTGGAGTTAAGACTGGATTCAGGAGTTAAGACATCAGATGCTTCTGTTTCATTTTTGCATTCAATGATAGGACTAAACCTGCAACTGTTTGCACAGGAGAATTAGCTAAGGTTTGTTTTTCTTCTTGGTTTTCCAGTCAATTTTGTTGTTTTGCAAGCACCAAGGCATTCCAGTCTCGGAATGAGCTCCAATCTGAATTCCACCCTGCATGCAAGGGGCAGCTGTGATGCTTTTACCTGTTGAAAACTGTCCCGTAAAAGCTGCTGGTCTTCTGGATGGCAGAAATCCACAATGTCTTTTCCCAAGAGTTCCTATTTTTTAAGGAATTGGGAGAGATGGAGTCAGTTCATCTGGCAGGCAGATTCCATAATTAATCTGTCTTTGGACAGGTAGTTCCTGCTCCTTCCCCCCAAATCCCTGTTACACAACCCAAACACAAGAGGCTGGTGTGCTGTTTTTTTAAAAGAAAAGCACAACAGCTGTTGATTCGTGTTTGATCTTTAACTCAATTTGAGGCAAAAATGGCTTTAATTGACATTTGACATAATCCAGAGACACCCAGCCTTGCCATGATCAAAGCACTTGGAAAAACACATGGAAAAGCAACCAGTGGAGAAGAAACACATGTCTGGGTTAAGCCCTGGGCATGGTTCACCAGCTCTGTTGGACAAGCAGAGCCATGATGTAGAAGGAAAAGTAAATTTAAAGAGCATTTTTTTTTATTAAAAAGCTGCTGAAGGTCCTCACCTGGGGCTGGTAACCCACGGTGGCCACGCACCGGTGGTCGATGAAGGTGAAAATTCCTTCGGTGTTGTGTCGGGAGATGAATTCTGTGGGCTGGCAGACATTGCTCATGTCTGTGCAGTTGGGGGAGCTGGTCACCTGCCAGGGACACAGGGACAGTCACCAACCCTGGCTGGCCCTGAGCTGCCAGCCCTGCTCTGGGCTTTGTGGCCATCAGGGAATGTTTTCAGACAGAACAGTTTAAATCTGGGGATTACCAGCACAAGGCAATGTTGGTAAAGGGGAACAGGGCACTCACCTGGAGCCTGCCAATGGCCACCAGGCAGAACTTGCTGCCCTGGCCAGCGTCAGGGTCATCATCAGGCAGGGAAACACCTGGGAGAGAAGGGCCAAAAATTCCAGCAAGGTTAGTACAGGAAAACTTTCAGAGGAATGGATTCAAGACATCTCTCTGCCCTGGTCTGTAACTCAACACTCTTCCCCATGAAGGGATTTTGCAAATTAAGGTGTCCACCCCTCCCTTTTTTCACCAGAAGGAATGAAAATCTCTGAATTTCAGCAAAAGCTGCACATCAGACAGTTCAATATTATTTTCATCCTCTGCTGCTTCACCTGCAAAAATTAAGTCAATCTTAAAATAAAAGTCATAGATGTGTTTGCAAAGCACTTCCTGGCACATTCAGCTCCTGGAATGGCAACTTTAGCCCATGTGCTCCTAAAGCCAGCCCACCTGAACTCAAGGTGGATTGTTACCTGCTGGGGGCCAGGCTTTGATGTAGCCCGTGCAGTGCACGACAACGTAGTGAGGTTCTCCATCCTTGGCTGCACCTAAACCATTCCTTGGGGGAGAGAAAGAGGTTGTGCTGCAGTGGGGGAAGGTGAGGCGAGGTGTTCAGCTGTGTTATTTATGTGTTGTATGTATTTATATGTTATTTATGTGTCACTTACCTGCAGCGATTCCTCATGAAGCTCAGACGATTGACAGCGACCGGATCCACAGAGCTGTTGCCACACCTGCACCAGGGTTAGAAAGGATTTGATCTTTCTTCAACATGGAAATAATCTGGACATCTTGAACAAGAAGAATTTCCATCCCACAAACCCCTCATTCTGCAGAACTCAAGGGGGGCTGAAACTAATTGGATCTTCTACAACAACAGGGCAAACAAACATTTTGAGAATTTGACTGTAGGGAAAGCTCAGCCATGTTCTGTCATGTCTACATCAAAATGAGTCCAAAAAAAGCTGAAATAAAAACTTTTTATTCCACCCCAGGATTCTGAGTGAGCTGAATGAGCTGGGTCTGACCCTGCAGTGTTTTGGAAGCCACCTCTCAGTGACACCAAGAGCCCTCTCACCACCACAGCAGGGAAAGCTCCCTGGCATGCAAGGACCAGGTTTAGGGAGCAAGTTTGGCTTTAGGCTCAGAGATTTCCCCAGGCAATTCCTTCCTACCTCATCCTGCAGATGAAAGATCTCCTGGAGCCCATGCACATCCTCATGGACTGCTGCCCTTCCTTCTTCACAGTCCCTGTCTTCAAATCGAGGATACGACCTAAAAAAAGGGAAGAAAAAGGAGATGCTGCTGCACTGGGAGCCCTTCCAGCAAGGCAGGTGTGGTGCCAGGTGATGCAGTGGGAACTGGCAGGACACGAGTGTCACTGGTGGTACCTTTAGATGCACTCTCGGGGGGGGCTGCAGCATCCTTGGTAGAAAGGCACCAGGGCTTGGTTCCCTCTACAAAGGGAAGGATTTAATCCAAGTCCTCTGCAGGCTGTGCCAACCTGCCAGCCCCTCACGTGCCAGCCCTGCTCGCTGTACCTGTGAGGGCGTTCTCAGAGGTGGAGAGCTGCTCCCTGAGCTTGCCCACGTCGTCGGGGTGCACCTGCTCGTACAGGGTGCTGCCGAACCACTCGGACTGCGGCTGGTTCAGCACCGGC